GGAATGTTTTAAGATGGGAGAAAACTTTGATCTGGTCCTTGAGAAGGAGGAGTACCTATTAGAATGGGAAAGGACTGAGGGGAACACCGGCACATGGTTTCAGCCTTGCAGCTGGTGCCGGGGGATGTGGAGGAAGATGCAGGAAGAGGAGGAGAGTCTAGAAAGTAAGGGTGAGTTGAGGTTTTTTTTTTTTTTTTTTTTTTTTTTTTTTAAGATTTACCATGTGGGCAACAAGGAGCCATAGAATGTTTTCATAAATATTTTAGATAGATAAGCTAGTCTTTAAAGCAAATTGAAATGGACTCTGGTAATAAATATTATGTGTGTACAGGCTAGAGGCAGGGGTTGACATTTTCACACTATAACTCACATGTGCAAAATGAAGTTCTTAATATCTCCGTAACTTAAGATTTTGTTGTCCAAACTGGAACACTTTTGAGAATAAAAGATGGGTATTTTTAATAATTATGATGGGCCTGGCAGGAGTGGCTCAATGGTTGAGCAATGACCTATGAACGAGGAGATCATGGTTCGATTCCTGGCAGGACACACACTCAGATTGCAGGCTCGATTGCTGTGTTGGGTGTGCAGGAGGCAGCCAATCAATGGTTCTCTCTCCCATCATTAATGTTTCTATCTCTCCCTTTCTTTCCCCTTCCTCCCTGAAATCAATAAAAATATAATTTAAAAAATAATAATTATGCTAGGTCAACAGCCCTAAATTGGAAGTGCCCTGCACAGATTAGGAGGTAGAGTCATCTCTTTATAATTAAAGTAAATTTTCTTTCATTGAAAACAAACAGGCAAATGAAATCTTGATTCAGAAATTACAACTTGGACTCAGCTAAATAAAAGTCTTTTTGGTTTATACCAGTCATGACCAGATGAATATTAAGACAACTCAAAAGTCAAAGAATACGAGCTAACACTTATATGAAGAATGCTATGTTGGGCACTGCTGCAAGCATTTCCCATATATTAAGCCATTTAATCCTCAAGTTAAAACCATGAGGTACATAGGAGTGTAAGTTCTCATTTTATAAGTAAAGAAATCAAGACACAGTGAGTTTAAATGACATGCCCAAAGTTAGCAGGTGCTAGAGCCACAATTTCAAATGCAGGTTGACTGGTACCAATATCTACGTCCAAATCCTTACTACATTGCCTCTCAAACAAAATCATGGCTTGTTGGCTCCTAAATTTGAATTCCACTGAGCCATGCTGGCACCAGATAAAAAATGAGCAATTCTTTAATACAAGTATGCCCCATGAAATATTTGGCACAACCTTCCACCCCCTTCCTAGTTGCTAAATGAACTTAAAATAACCTCATCGCATGGGCTGGGTGTAGGGCTGGGCCCTGATTTCCACTTGGCCTACACACATCTGCTGGGCTGTCCCTGTGGTTGTAGAACTCATGGCTGTTCTCTGAGCAGAGCTGTCATCTCTCAAACCAGGTCAGCTTTGCCTCTGCTCCTGGTTACACTGCAGATGCTCAGGATCTTAGCTCTGCTCCTCTCCACCTGAAAATACATGCTTTACTATTAACATGAATGTTAGAAAGCTTATGGACTATTTAGGGATATTTAAGGATACATCTATTAACTCTGAAATGAGCTAGAAAAATCCCTCTACTCAAACTATTTGGAAACTCTGTGCAGTACCAGAAAATTCCACTATCATACTCTCTCGTTATAACTCAAAAATGAACTCTATAATGTATCAGAAGCTTCCTGTAAGGAAAAAAATGTGATGGGTTCTGTTAGCAACAACTAAAACAAAAAGCATTTTGTTCTTTGTTCAAAATTTAATTTTTCCATTGATGCCCTTTATTGCCTTCCATTCCAAACACATTTTCTTACCTTGCCACTCCAAAGCAGGCAAGAAGTCGGGGTATAGCTAAAGAATTCTGAGTTCCCACTCTAGGTTTACACAGAATTTTCAGAGCCTTAGTTTCCTTTGGAATAATGTTAGGAAAAAATGATTTCTAATATTGGAATAATAATAATAATAATAATACCTGCCACATAAAATTCTTTTGAAATTTTGAGAAGTGGCGAATAAAACAAAATATTATAAATGGAATCCAAGGTTAACAACTTCTAAAACCATCATTTTGTTTGGTTGATTCCGGTCTCTCATGCCCCATTTGGCGGGTAGAATAGTTCGTGCCCCCTCCCCCAAAAGAGATATGCACCTGGAACTTGTGAATGTGACCTTATTTGGAAATGGGGTTTAGCTCCTCCAGGATCTTGAGATGAGCTCATTTGGATTTAGGGTTGGCCCTAAATGCAATGACAGGTATTCTTCTGAGAGAAAGGCAGGAGGAGATGGAAGACACAGACACACAGGGGTGAGGGTCATGTGAAGACAGAGGCAACAGTTAGAGCTATGGTGGCACAAGCCAAGGATCTGCCAGAAACTGCAACTGGCAAGAAACGATTCTCCCTAGAGCCTTTAGATCGGCCCTGCTGACCCTTGATTTTGGACTTCTGGCCCCTAAAACTGAGAGAATACATTCCCGGGTTTTTGTGGGGTTTTTTAGCCATAGTTATAGTATTTGTTTAGGCAGTGTTTGGAAACTAATACAGTTCACATCCCCACCAGTAAATCATCAACTCAGTCTCCAAAATATGTGCCAGACCATGCAGCACCTGCTCCTGCCCCAGTAGCTATACCCAGCCGCCACCATCTCATTCCTGGCCTTCATGCTTTAATCCTCGCACCTCTTAAAGTCATACTGCAGTGGGAGTGTGATCTGAAAAAGAAGTCAAATCTTGTCAGTCCTTTGCTTAAAACCTTCCACCTACTTTTCACTTCTCTCCAATTATATCTAAAGACCTTGTCATGGCCCACCAGGCTGGACCTGATCTGGTTGGGCTCTCTCTCTGACCGCATTTCTCACCATTTTCTCACTCCCAGTCTCCTTAGTGTTCTGCAAATGTGTCTAGCCCTCTCCCTCAGAGCTTTGAGTGTTCTTTTCTTTCTGTCCAAATAACCTCAGGCCGGCTTCTTTGCAGGTCTGCTCAAACCCCACTTCCTCAGAGAAGCCATTCACATTCATCTCATACAAAGTGGCTCATCTCAATTGCAGTATATCACACCATCTTCAAAGTGCTCATCACAAAACAGTATTTGCTTTGCTTATTTTCCTGTTCTTAGCTTCTCCCTCTCTTATGAGAATGAAACTGTTATGGCAGAAATCAGGTTGATGGGAAGCGACAAACCATATGCACTCCAAGGTTCAGAAAAGGACTATTTATTCCGATACTGCCAGGAATATGGGAAAGCAGCAGGTCATGCACAAAAATCTGCTCTGCCGTTCCCCCCCCCCCCCCCCCCCCCCCCCAAAAAGCCAGCTGCTTTAGGCTAGGACAAAGATTACACGAGAAGTTGGACTATCGACTTGGAGAAACTAGGAGACTCCATTGTTTGGGCAACAAGAGTGTTAATCTTTCCACAATAGACCTCACTCCAAGGTTGACTCCCTGGTCCAGTGTTGACTCCTGAGGGCATACAACTCCCAGCCAGGTCAGAATGTCCTTTCTTTAACCAACACAAAGCAGTCATGGTTAACAGAGCTTGATGAATATTTTCCACAGCCATTTTCAGTGCCCAGTATTCCTTTCTTGCCCCCTGACAAAGTCTCCTTAAGTATTAGGACCTTGTCTGTCTTGTTCAATGCTGCATTTCTGGTACCCAATGCTCAGCATACTGCAGCCACTAATACAATATTTGTTGAATGAATGAAGAAACCAATAGACCTTTTCATTACTAAGGGTGTTAACCCAATAGGATGGAGATGGTAACTATTGTCAGCACCACCAAACAGCACTTTCTGGAGAGTAACCTAGATAGCCACCTACACACATTCTCAGTGGATAGGGTAAGCATCACCACCAAGGGAACAATCCATTGTAGTTGCAAAGGGAGATCTGAAGACAGGGCATAAATAGTATTAACTTTTCTGTGAAGTATTTCAGAATGTTTAAAACTATCACGTTCAAGAGATAAATTAATGTTAAATCTATGAATGGATTCCTGATGGAAATTGAGAACAATTTTCCATGTTTTTAACACTCGGCAATTTAAAAAGTGCTTTCATGTGCCTTATTTTATTTGATTTTTTACCTGCCTAAGAAATGGAAGACAATATTATTCCCATTTTACAAATCGGTGTATAGAGACTGAGTGACCTGTGCAAGGTCACAAAACTGCACAACTGGCATTCGCGTGGTCCCAGACCCAACCAAGTACTTCTGACTTCAAACTCCTTATTTTTCTCACTGCACTCCAATCATCAGTTTACTTAATGTACTATATTATTGAGCATCGACCGTTTCAGGTACTGTTTTAAGTGGAACATATGAGGTTACAAAAGGACTGGCAAGAAAATTGTCTTTAGAGCATTCAGATTGGCGCTCCTTGACTCTTGATTTTGGACTTCTGTTGATAATCTTTGTCTTTTGTTTTCTTTTCTTTTCTTTAAGTAATGCATGTACTTGGGAGGACAAATCAGTACAGTAGCTGCTACCTGTCCCCACCCCACTCTCTCCTGACGCAACTGCTGTCTGGAAATCTGTGAAAACACGGAGGGTAAGTTAGTTCCCTGTTTCTGGAGTGAGGCCCTTCCTGGAGGTGGGGACTGAGCCAGCTGACCTGGGCTGGCTCATCTCCATCCCTGTGGGCAGCCCAGCACAGGACGCTCCCGGTAATAAGGGTTGTGCTGCGGAGAGGAAAGGAGGGCAGCTCAGCTGGAGAATGATCTGGAGTAAAGCAATGCCAAGCCTGGGCAGGCAGGACGTTCGGACCCAAGTCCCCAGGTCCTCAGACAGGTTTAATGTGGGCCTGGGGCGGGGCTCCCGGCGAGTGGGATGGAGCGGGGCCTGGCGAGGGCGTGGTTGGCCCGGGGGCGGGGCCTGGCGAGGGCGTAGTTGGCTCGGGGGCGGGGCCGGGGCCGGGCGGGGCGGGGCCGGGCGGCGTGCCGACGTGGCAGGCGCAGGGGCGTGCGCCTCCGTGGCCATCTTGGAGGCGGGGACGCGCGGTGCGAGCACCTCCGTACCTCCTCCTTGTCTCCTCTGAGCCGTATTCTTAACTCCCTGAGCGCCCTGTCCCCCCACTTTTCAGCCGCCACGCAGACAGCTTCTCGGGCCCCCAGGTGAGCGTCAGCCTGGGAGCAACGCGGGTGCCTGCGGGCGGCGGCGGCAGCCGCGGGTGAGGGCGCCGGCGGGCGCCGTCTCTGCGAGGTGGGCGGGCTGCCGGGCCCCCGGGAGGCTGGGGTCTCCCCAGAGCCCCGCGGCCTTTCGTCCCTTCGTCCCCGGCGCGGGCTGCGGAGCCTGGGGCTGCAGTCCGGGCGCCGTGCGCTTCGCCCGGCGGGCTGCGGTGCTGCTGTGGGCGCGTCCCGGGGGGCTCGTTCGGCGCTTTGCCCTCGTCCAGGTGCCGGGCGGGCGCCCTGGTCTCGGGGCCCCTCCTTCCTGCGCTCGGCCCGGGAGACACCCGCCCGCGGGCGCCGCTGACCTTAGTCCGCCCGGCGGGGCCTGGAGACGTGGCAGAGCCTGTGCGGAGGCCCTGCCTCCCGGAGCAGGATTTCGGCTGCTCCCGCCTCGCCTCGGCGGCTTGGTCACACACGGGGCACCGTGGGAAGGAAGTAGTTTATTTTTCCGCAGGTCCCGGGTCAGCGCCTAACGCTGCTCCGGGGGCTTTGTCCTCTCTGCTCTTAGTCAGCTCCTGGGACCTACTTCCCGAACTTTGCAGGGGTAAGCCTGTCTCCCACATTGGTAGGATTTATACCCAGGAGAGTTTTTGTCATTCAGAGGAGTCTTCAGAGACACCGTGCACATTTCTGTGAACATGGCACATTTGGGCATCCCGGTCTTTCTAATGTCAGCCGCTATTTTAATTCAGGGAACATTTGTGGAAGTTTTATTTGGGGATCGGAGCTGAGAATGCAAAGACAGGAGGAAACTCAGACCCATGCCCAGGCGCTCGCTCGTTGGTGGTACAGACCAACCAGCCCTTGCACCTGTAATGCATCAACAATAATTGGCTTTTAGTGCTTTTACGGTTATCAAAGCTCCATGATGCCATTGATTTTTTTTTTTTTTTGTATCCGTATAAGTAGCCATCCACTTTAATGTTGATACATAAATATTCCTGTTTGTGCCCAGGCTTGAGCATTAGAAACTTTAACCACTCTTGGTACTTCACTGTTATTTTACCACAATAGCTTTTCTTTAGTAGTAGAAGGTTATTACATTTATGTATGCAAAATTTACCCAGTATTGTCATTAAGCTGGTTCTCAAAGAGTAAAGCTTTCTAAAGGCTGAAATAAATGGACTAATTATTCCATATTACGGGTTGTAGTCATTGTGCAAGTTCTTATGCCAACACATTTGTTCATGTTGGGGATGAGGGTCGTCTTTAAGTCTGACTTCCACTAGCCATTGTAAGGATTCGGTGGTGTCTGTAGTAGGACAGGAATGGCTAATAGGAAAATGGGAAGATGAAGAAGAGAGAGCTTTGGGAAGAGACGTGCATATTTGCCTCCCACTCCTCAGTCCAATTCAGACCGACCTCTACCCCATTCCTTCCATGGAAATGGCTCTCACGACATCATCTCCCATTTAACAAATCCATTGAACTCTAGTTACCATCCTCTTTGTTTCTGCAGATTTTAATACTGTTGCCTGTTTCTACCTTGGAACACACTGGCTGTTGGACACCACAGTCTTCCTGGTTTTCTTCCTATCTTTCTGGTCATCTCTTGTTCTTCTCTGTACCCTTGACTTCTACCTGGCTCCTCTTGAATGACTGGTTGGGTCATATTCTCTTTTCATTTGGTATTCTCTTAATCTTCTCAAAACATGACTCTAGGGACCAGGTAGAATAAAGGAACCTACGCTTACATGGTTTCTAAGCTACAAACCAAGTCATTGCCTTTCGTGTGATGTTTCAAGGGACTTAAAATCCAGCATGCCCAGCATAAACACTACATAAACCTAACCTACATAACGAAAAGGTACCAAGCAGATACCTCTTCCATTGTTCCCTACGTGAATGATACCCATCTCTGTCCAGTTGTGCAAGTCACGTATCTCCCCGTCATTGCCCCATATCCAGTTCATCACCACCACCTACACATTTCTTAAATCCACTCTTCTCTAGCTCCACTACCACCACTTTACTATAGGCCAAAGGTTTTCAGCCTTGGCATTATTGATATTTGGGGCCAGGTAATTTTTTTTCTTGTGGGGGCTGTCCTGTGTGTTGTAGGATTTTTCGCAGTACCCCAGCCTTTCTCTACTGGATTCCAGTAGTACCTTTCTAGTTCTGACAACCAAGAGTGTCAGAATCACCTTCTTCCCCACCTCCCTAGGTGTCTAGGGTGTTCCTGTTTGAACTACTTCTGTATCCTTCTTAATGGTCCCTCTGCATTTACTCTGACTGTCCTGTGGCCCAATTTGCATACTGTCATCAAAAGAATCTGCTCAGCACAAATATGAATTGTCAAAGGCTGGAATCAGTCTAAATGTTTTTCAAGAGATAAATGGATAAAGCTAGTACATCTATAAAACGGAGCACTATTCGGCAGTAAAAAAAAGAAAAAAAAGAACTAACTATTGATACACCCAGCAACTTGATGGATTTCAAGAGCATTATGCTGAGTGGAAAAAACCAGTCTCAAAGTGTGATATGCTGCGTGCAATTCTATTGATGTAATATTCACAAAATGAGAAAATGTTAGAGAAAATGTTTTGTCAGGACTTATGGTTGTTGGAAACATGTGACAGGATGTGACCCGGGGGTGACAGAATAGTTCTGTATCTTGATTGTGTTGGCATTTATGATGTAACTTCATAGAACTATACACACACTCACACACGTGCACAAATATAAAAACAGGTGAAATCCAAATAAGGTCTATAGTTTGATTATTAGTATTGTACCAATGTTAATTTCTGAGGTTTTACCATTGTACTAGAATTACATAAGATGATATTGAGAGGAGCTGGGTTAAGGGTACTCATGAGCTCTGTTTTATTTTTGCATCTTCTTGTGAATTAAAATTTTTTAAAAGACAACAATGTCACATCCAGCTTAAGTGCCCTCTATTGATTTTCTGTCCTTGAAAAAAAATTGCTGCCCAGCTGGTATGGCTCAGCGATTGAGTGTTCACCCTGAACCAGGAGGACACGGTTTGATTCCCAGTCAGGACACATGCTGGAATTGTGGGCTCAGTCCCTAGTAGGGAGCATGCAGGAAACAGCTGATCGATGGATGTTTCTTTCTCATCGATGTTTCTACCCATCCCTCTTCCTCTAAAAATTAATTTTAAAAAACATTTTTAACAAAATAAAACACTAATTAATTTTTTAAAATATTTAAAAAAAAGCAACAACAACAAAAAACCAACTCAATTCCTTAACCTGGCTTATAGGGCTCAACCTGGCATGAACTCCTATGTCTCCAGTCCTCATTCTTTTCTGTTTTGTGCCACATGGGATTTCTTGAATGTGGCTTGTTCCCTCCACCTTATTAGGGTCTTTATACTTCCTATACATTCACTTTCTTTTTGTCTTAATTAAATTCTGCACATTCTTAAGAACCTGGGGGAACCCTTTCCTGACCTTCAGGTCAAAATCCTATTTCTGTCATACAAAACTGTTTTACACCCAGAGCACACGACTCAGTCTACAATTCTTTGTATTATTCTTCCATTATCTCCTGGACTGTAAGTATCCAGTTTTTGCATCCATTGTTTTTCCAGAGGCACCAGTACAATGCTTGGCAAGTAGTTGACCTTTCGTGAAGGATAACTGAGTAAAAACAAACAAATTTGGTGTATTTAGAAGTTTTGAGTTTATGCTTGAAATTTTATAATTTTTCCATATTTTATCATCATTATCATCTGTTAGGATTCTGGTATCTAGGGAAATTTTTGCTATAGTTAACCTTTTCTAAAACCCTGACATATCATTTAGCCATTAATATGAGGAAATCAAGAATTGAGCAATTTTTTTTTTCAATGTTAACAGGAGTAGCCCACATACAATGCTTTATTGGGAGAGAAGAAGTGTTTCAAAAATACTGATTTTTATTTTAAATGTAATACTGCCTGGAACCCAATGTAAATCTAAAATGCATCACCCTAGCTGGTTTGGCTTAGTGGGCAGCGGTCCTGGGTTGGATGCTGGCCAAGGGCACATGGCTGGGTTGCAGGCTCTATCCCCAGTGTGGGGCGTGCAAGAGGCAGCTGATCCATGATTCCCATCATTGATGTTTCCATCTCCCTATCCCTTTCTGAAATCAGTAAAAAAAAAATAGATTTAAAATAAACAAAATGCATGCATGTGACAGAAAGTAAATGAGTAATTTACTATTTGAAATATATTGGATGAGTAATTATAGTTAACATAAAATGATAATGATTAATTACTTAACATAAAATTATTTCCCAGTATTAAGTATGTCACAGATTGCCTATTTAACATTCTCCCATACTGTGTTTTGTTTTGTTTTTTGTTTTGTTTTTAGGAATTTTGACAGACCCTTCATCTGGAAATAAGTTAATGATTATTCTTTTGTTTTTGGTATATTTATTTTTTTTATTATCTTTGTTGTTGAAAGTATTACAGATCAACAAACAACAGGTGCTGGCAAGAATGTGGAGAAAAGGGAACCCTAGCACACTGTTGGTGGGAATGCACACTGGTACAGCCACTGTGGAAAACTCTGGAGTTTCCTCAAAAAATTAAAAATGGAATTGCTATTTGACCCAGTGATCCCACTTCTAGGAATATATCCTAAGAAGCCCGAAACACCCATCTGAAAGATTATTCTTTAAAATTATTCTCTGACTATACAAGCTATAAAAAGATGCTTTGACTACTGTGTAATACTTATTACATTTTTATCATTTTACAGTATATCATAATTGAAAAAAAATGATGGAAGAGAGTGGAATAGAGACAACACCACCTGGAACTCCTCCGCCGAATTCTGCAGCGGGACTGGCTGCTACGGCTGCTGCTGCTGCTACGGCTGCCGCCGCCGCTGCGATGTGTTCCACCCCCGTTCCGTTAGGTACGTGGCGATGTCGGCATACAGTGTGTTGTAAGGATAGTGGAGAGACTTCTCTTTTCTGTGACAATTTAAAAAAGGCAGATATTAGAACTTATTTTACTTATGGGAGTTGGAAGTCGTATTTGTTGTATATTTTAAATTACACATTTTTAAAATCTTGGGATGTGGTCTGTTATATTTAAACATTTTGCAAGAAAAAAGTCTTGAAAACTAAGTGAAAGTGTTTCCAATTTTGTCTTTTTTTTCCCTCTCTTCCCTTTTTCCTAGCTGCAACCAGTTCTTTTTCTTCTCCAAATGTATCTTCTGTGCAGTCCCTGCCACCACACTTATCCTCTACCCCTCAGCCATCCCTTCCTCCTGTGAGGCCTTCCGCATCACTGCCTTTTGTGCCTCCTTCACCAGTTCCGTCTGCTCCACCGCTTGTTACCGCTGTACCACCTCCTGTGTCTCCACCGACCGCTGCCGCCTTCAGTAACCCTCCTCTACCCCACTTCCCAACCTCACCTTCTGCCCCGAGTACTCTCCCATCTGCGCCCCCTTCCAGTCCTCCCACGTCAGGGTTTTCTGTTGGATCAGCGTATGACATCACAAGGGGACATGCCGGAAGAGCTCCCCAGACACCCCTGATGCCGTCATTTTCTGCACCTCCAGTAACAGGTAATCCTCTCATACTCATACTTTGAAGTAGTGGTTATAGCTAATGTTTTGTTTTTCAAATGATAATAAGATATAATTTGCATACTGTGTAATTTATTAATGTATTTGCAGAATTATGCAGCCGTCACCACAATTTTAGAACTTTTTTATCACCCCAAAAAGAAACTGCGTGACTATTTGCAGTCATTCCCTACTTCCTCCCAAATCCTCACAGCTCTAAGCAACCACTAATCTACTTTCTCTCTCTCTGAGTTTGCCTATTTTGGGCATTTTGTGTAAATGGAATCTTATAATATGCAGCCTTTTGTAACTGGCTTTTTCACTTGGCATATTTTCAAGGTGTATCCACGTAGTTATGTCAATACTTCATTCCTTTTTATGGCTGTGTAATATGCCATTGAATGCGTAACCATAATTTGTTATTCAGTTCATCAGTGGTGGTTTTTACTTTTCTGGCTATTATGAATACCTCTTCTATTAATATTTGTGCACATTGTGCACAAGTTTTTGTGTAGACATATTTTCATTTATCTTGGATATGTAAGTAGGCATGGAATTGCTAACTTGAAAAACCACCAGATTATTTTCCAAAGCAACTCTCTTACTAGCCATGTATAAGGGTTTCAGTTTCTCTGCATTAATGTTTTAAACTCATTTCTTGGACTTTCAGAGTTTTCTATTCTCATGTTTTTGCTACTTAAATTGTTAAAATAGAGTGATGTAACTTAGTATATGATCTTTGTATGTTGTAAACTTAGTAGTACATACATGGTTAGTATATGGACTGTGCTCTAATATTTTGTGCACTTACCGAGAAACATCAAGGTGAAATTTAAGAATTTTTTAAAACTTTACTTAAAAAGTTATCAGACTGAGTGGTCCAAGGAGTAGTTTTATTTAGCCTGGTAAAAATTTAAAACCAAATAAAAGCTTCTGTGTAAATTGGTGGTATTGGGTCGTTTCCGTAGGTCAGCTATGCCTTCTATTGGCCTCTCTGGAATGGTTGTGAGAAACCAATATTAAAACTTTGTCCTTGTTATTTTCTGCCTGTCATTTCTCATTTTAGGAAAGGAAACAACTTTGCTATAATTTTTATTATCCAATTTTGCATATCAACCTTTACAAATAAATATTTTTGCAGAGTAAAAGTATTATACCCATGTTTATGTATATGTGAATTTTTTAGTTAAAGTAGGATATAGAGATACATGTACTAATTGTTATATGCTTTTATGTGATGAGCTTGGGTACTTACACCAGTGATTTTTATGCACTAAAGAGATCACATCTTTTATACTGATCACATCCAAGTGGTAAATAGAGTAAATGTGAAGTAATTTTTTGTTGTTTTTAATCCTCACCTGAGGATATTTTTTTTATTGCTTTTCAGAGAGAGTGGGAGGGAGGGAGGGGGAGAGAGTGAGAGAGGGAAACATCGATGTGAGAGAGACATATCAGCTTGTTGCCCTCCCATATGGCCCTAACCAAGAGTGGTGAGTGAACCTGAAACCCAGGTATGTGCCCTTGGCCAGGAATCCAACCTGTGACCCTTCTGGGCATGGGCTGGCACTCTTAACCGCTGGCCAGAACATGAAGTACTTTTTGATTGTTATTTTTTGTCCATTTTCAGGACAGTTGGTGTAAGCCTATGAAAAAAGGACATTTATTTTTTTGAATTTTGTTTCATTTGTATTTTATAAAATAGTTTCAGGTGATTCTTTGCGTTCATAACTCTATCTTGAAATGCCTGAGTGCACAGACACATTATTTAAGCTGTTTTAAACTGCTCATCTCATATATTGCATCTTTTTATAGGAAATCATTTGGAATAAATTACATATGTTAAACCTTTTTGCCATTAACTAGGTATTTTGCCAGCCCCCATTACTCAGCAAGCCAGTTTGACACCTCTGGCCCCGGGAACTGATACCACGTCAGCCATTACTTTCCCAGAGGAACAAGAAGATCCCAGAATTGTTAGAGATCAGGATGAAGCATCTGCTAGTGGAATCTGGGGTTTTATCAAGGTGAGCTGTATTCACTTTAAAAACCATGCTTAACTTTTATGAAACTAATAGGCATTCATTAGAGAGAATTTTGAAAATACAAAATGGTGTAAGGAAAAAAATGATTTTTATTCTCTTTACTATAGTTTTCTATAGCTCCTCTGTCTTTTGTTTGTGCATATCTATGTGGACGTTAATCTCTTTTTAAATAAAAGTCACATTGGGGTAGTGGCACGTGGAGATGTCTTTTGTTTATCTTTACCTATGGTATATCAGGAATGTCTTCCTAGCCATAGCATATCTTGAGAAGTGTTCTTTCTGGCTGCTTTGCCCTACATGCCATTGCATTTATTTCCCATATTTATTTTGCTAATGTGATTTGGCATTTTCTAATTGTAATTCTTATCAATAAAGCTATGATGAGTGCTCATATATGCAGATCTTTGTGTTCATCTGTTTCATCAGGATTAATTCCCAATGTATGTGCAAATGAACACTATTTTAAAAAAATATATTTTTTATTGAGTTTTTACAGAGAGAAAGGGAGGGGCACAGAGTTAGAAACATCGATGAGAGAGAAACATTGATCAGCTGCCCTCGTGCACACCTCCCACTGGGGATGTGCCCGCAACTAAGGCACATGCCCTTAACCAGAATCGAACCTGGCACCCTTTAGTCCGAAGGCCAACACTCTATCCACTGAGCCAAACCAGTTTGGGCAACAAGTGAACACTAAAAATTACTGATACATATTGCTGTCCAAGAAGTTATTCCAAAATAGACAAAGCATTTGTCACTTTGCTAGCAGTGATCTTGAAGTACAATGTTTTCTAATTTGAAAAGCAAAAATACTCCTGGTTTTAATTTGCGTTTCTTTGTTACTGAATTTGAACTTTTTTTTCAGATTTATTTGCAATTTATAGTTTTCTTTTGTGAAGTCTCTATATTCTTTGCTCAATTTTGAATTGGGATGATTTTCTTTTTCTTTTTTAAATATATTTTATTGATTTTCCACAGAGAGGAAGGGGGAGGGATAGAGAGCCAGAAACTCAATGAGAGAGAAACATCGACCAGCTGCCTCCCGCACACCCCCACTGGGGATGTGCCCGCAACCAATGTACATGCCCCTGACTGGAATTGAACCTGAGACCCCCTCAGTCGGCAGACCGACGCTCTATCCACTGAGCCAAACCGGTTTCAGCGGGGGATGATTTTTTTAATTCATAAGATCTGATAGTGTAGTAAGAATATGTTTTTTGACACAAAAGTTTCTAAATTTTCAGGACTCAATTTTTTTTAAGTCGTCTTTTCATTTTTTTTTTAATGATAAAAATGACTTTTTCCACTATTAATATATGATGTTTTTCTTTGGTTTCTTAATTCTTTTTTCTTTTCACACTTGCCAATTTAATGTAGCTATACCTATTTTATTATATGGCATAGAAGTCAATTTTAATTTTTTTTCAACCACTTAATTGACTGTTCCAACATAATCTCTGAGATTTGATATGTCACCTTTATCTCTGTTACTGAATTGCTGGCTAGTATCAGCTTCTGGGCTCTGCATTCTGTTCCACTACTCTGCCTGTCCTTGCAATAGTTCTACACTTCTTCAGTTATTGTAACTATTAATATTCATTGAAAGCCTACTCCATGCTGAGCTGGGGATGGCAGAGGATTCATTGATGAGTGAGGGAGGTCAATTTCAGGTCTCTGCATTCATAAAGATACATCAGAATTTGGTTGTATAAGTTTGCTGATTTCTCTTTTCATTAAAATTTTTTTTTTTCTGCTGAAACCGGTTTGACTCGGTGGATAGAGCATCAGCCTGTGGACCGAAAGGTCCCGGGTTTGATTCCGGTCAAGGGCATGTACATTGGTTGCAGGCACATCCCCAGTAGGGGGTGTGTAAGAGGTAGCTGATCGATGATTCTCTCTCATGGATGTTTCTAACTCTCTATCCCTCTCTCTTCCTCTCTGTAAAAAAAATTCAATAAAATATATTTAAAAAAATTTTTTTTCTTCTATTTTTTCCATTTATTTTTCTTGGTGAAATTTGGAATTGTTTCATCAAGTACTCCCCCCCCCCCCACTAGCCCCCCACTAATATTCTGCTAGTGGCTTGGTTGCAGTTCAGTTGTATATTATAATAAACATTTCTAGGTGTTAGTATATGTTGACTGACTTACTGCATTTTTCATGTTTAATGAAAATGCTGTTTTTCTACTGCTTTTTCAAGGCTTTCTTTATATAAGGACTATCACTTTTTTTAACTTTTTAAAAATATATTTCTTTATTGATTTCAGAGAGGAAGGAAGGAGAGGGAGATAGATACATGATGAGAGAGAACCATTGATGGCTGCCTCCTGCACAACCCCTACTGGGGATTGAGCCTGCAGCCCAGGCACGTGCCCTTGGCCAGAATCGAACCTGGGACCCTCCATTCCGCAGGCTGACTTTCTACCCACTGAGCCAAGCTGGCTAGGGCATTGTGAAAAGCATGTCATTATGTCAGTTATCAGTTGAATACCCAGTTTAACTCTCCAGGTTTTGTGACTAACTTCTGATGTTCAGCATAAGGTTGGTTGACAGTCTTAAATGTCACTGTTAACAAACTCATCATTTTTTCTGAATCACCTTAGTTTAATGTAGGTTGGAAGAGGTGGAATCATGGTTGTTAGCCAGATGCCATCTTGAGTCATTGCTCTCAGGAATCTTTTATCATGGGAGAAGTATAGCACAGGAAGGAGGCATTTAGACCTGGCTCCTCATTTCTAATACACGGTTTTAAGAATCAGATGGTGCAAGGCCTATCGAGGGATCATTTTGTAAGTTATATAAAGATTTGTTTACTATGCTGTAGACCTGAAACTAATGTAATATTGAGTGTTAATTCTAATTGGGGGGGAAAAAAAACACACAATCCAGAGGCCCGACTTAAAAATGAGAATTTGGGTATGAACAAAACAAGAAACAGGACCTAGGACAAAGAATAAACTCTGGTGAAACATAGCAGAATATTTTATAATAAAGTATCAGGTAGCTGCTTTGGGGAATAGATACGTAAATGTTTTCACTATTTTTATTTTTATTTTTTATTAGGGAACAAAGTATGGGTCTATGGAGACACCTGATTACAAACTTTATTTGGAACCTTGATGGACAAGTTTTGCCTCATCTTTTAGATAAATAACATATTCATAGAAATTAAGTATATATGCATGCACACATATGAAGATGCAATATACATATGTCCCAGGCCAGTGCTACTAAAAGTGTGGTTTGCAGTCTGTTGTGGGTCTGTGATAGATAAGAGAAATTGAGAGTAAGCATTTTGAAATTTAATAGCAATTTAACATTGATATAACCTTGTTTTGTTGTTTTTTTTTTTATATATTTTACAAAGTACAGGTCTGTGATGCATTGTAAACCTAAAAAAATAATTTATTTCATTAGCTGGTGATCATTGTTTTTCTTTGCTTAGAATGGGTATTTATATGTTAATTTGTTTTATGCAGGGCGTAGCTGGGAATCCTATGGTGAAAACTGTGCTTGATAAAACAAAACATTCTGTAGAAAGCATGATTACAACGCTGGACCCTGGCATGGCTCCATATATCAGTATGTACTTAAGATAGACTAGCATCTGCCATATATTTTAAAAGTATGTGCTAATGTCAGCCATTAATTGGAAATCCATAGGTCTTATAATCAGTAGAAATCCTCTTAATATCCTCTTAATAGTCTTATATTGTCAAATCTTAGTCTTGGTATTTTTAATTCATCTCTGTTATCACCATTAAATGCATTTTGAAACTCCTTAGAATAAACTTCGGAGGAGTAAAACCATATGAATTACTAGTGTGCATACTGACTAATTTTAAGTGTAAATGTGGTTAGTCACTTGCTTTATTTGACTTTTACTTTATTCACTGTTGATATTTGAAGTAATGCTTTTATATTTGGTTTTGACATTTCTTCAGTTATCTATTTTAAATAGTAAGTATATCTATGTTTAACTCAATATTTTTAGAGGAAGTTAATCTATTAATAATACCGTAGATTACTGGGTTTGTTGTGAAAGCTGTTTTATCCATTTTTGAATCTTTATTGCTTAATTATTTTTGGAGTTTATATCTGCTAAAGGACTTAGAAATCAGGCCCTATCATGCATATTGATTTTACATATTAATAATAAGTTTGACAATGAACACATCATGATAGTCTCCTATTTTTGGAGCTCTTGCTGTTTTAATGGGTACTGTATTAGACTGTGAGAGCCATTATTTTATGTATTCTTAGAGCAAGTCCTGTGAGGTGATGGTACTTTCCTATAAAACAAGTTCAGTGACTTCTGCAAGATAATGAAGCTAGAAAATGATAGTTAGGACTATAATCCAAGACCATTTCTCAAGCCAGTAGTCTGCATGACATCAAGAAAAAGTAAAAAACAGAAAACAAGAAAACCCTCAAGGGTGGAGGAAGAGATACAAAGTTTATATTATTAGATAACAACATATATCTTAATCAGCTTTAAAAAGTAATACTGAGTGTGGAAAAGCTGACACTGTCTTGACAGCAAAAGCAAGACCATTCTTGACAGCAAAAGCAAGACCATTCTTACCTAATAAAACAGTGAATCAGTATTTTTACTCAGATATTCTAGAAATCATTTAATAATTTTAAATGTATCAAAAAGGCACAAGAGCTATTAGAAATGCTCTAATATATCTTAACACAATTTAACTTTCTACATTCTTTTAATTAGTTCTCCCTTTGCTATAAAAGGCCACACTAAGTGAAAGCTTAGTGGAGTAGTCCTCAGCTAGAGTCAAGAGCGATCTCATATGGAAGGAAAAAAATGAGAAAAAAATACGTTTCCTCTTCCCTCCTTTGTGAGCTATTGCTTTTAGGTCTTGGTAATGTCTAATAAAAAAAAAAAAGGCGGGGGGGATCCGTAATAAAAAAAACTCAGAAATTTAGAAAGTATTTTCAACTGTTCCAGAATATATGTATTAGGAAAACCATAGCATCGTTTCTGGGGCAAAATATTGTACAATACAGATGGCTTTCTTGAGAAATCTCTTACCAGTGATAGCCTAATGCCAAGTAGCAAAGTATGCTGGGCTTAGAACCAGGCCTTTGAATTCTGTGTATCACGAAATGTTAGATCAAGATCTTAAGTAATTAGTCACATTTGATTCAATTACTCTAAATAGAACACAGGTTTTTAAAGTAATTGCAATATTAAAATTTTAAAAAAATTAATTTAATACTGCTTTTAGTCTTTAAATTTCAGGTTTCATAAAAATTGGCATTTCATTTTTTAAATATATGCTTGCATATTTGTATTAGGTCAGTAATAAATGTATAATTTATAAATACCCATTTGTGGTATTTTTTTTTTTCAGTCATGGAGCTGTATAATAAAATTTCAACTCCCATATTTTAAACTATTTTCTAGATAAAAAGCATATTTCATGGTAGTCCTTGTTTAGTGCAGAAGTTCTGTGCAAGTCTTTGACAGGTTATATCAGTAATAGTCATTTTCTGTGAATAGTGTCCCAAATATGTGACAATTTTACAAGTCACGTATCCCAAATATATGACAATTTCACAAGTCACATTTAATTCCTCTGATTGCTGAAGGATTGGCAACTATGGCTTCCAAAAGGTGTTAGAATTTTGTGTATAATAGCTATGTCTCTAGTAATTACCAGTAGAAAAACCATTTTGATTTACAGCCTTTAAGATGCAATAAATATGTCTAATAATTTAATCAGAAAATGAAATTAAATTAGTAGAGCAGTATAATAGAAAATGTTCTCATAATGGCCCTAACATCATTTCTCAAACAGATATCTATGGAACATCTTTTAGGAGCTGTTATTATATGCTAAAAAAGTGTTCCATGAACAAATTAAGCATGGAAGTACTGGGTTATAATTATAGTCATGATTTTTAATTGTTGGACTTCTCAGAATCACATTTCCAACAAAGAAATACGGAGTTGTGCAGCATCTCCCAAGCTGTTTGACTTTATCACGCTGTCATCAGAGGGAGCTATCACGCTGTCATCAGAGGGAGCTATAATATGTTCTGGAACAGTAGTTCATAGGATTCAGAACTTGCCAAAGGTTGTTATTTCTGGTTAGAGTGTGGTGCTGTATTTGTGGCAGATATGATAATCAGAACCATTAGAAGGTATGCGCCATCCTCTGCTTGCAGGTAGATTCCCTAAGGCTTAGATAATACATTAGTTCTCATTTTTAAAACTAAGGAAAATTTGGTAGTTCTGTGCTAAGCTCTTGTTGGAATAAAATGCCTATCTTGCATTGTTCTGTGAGCTTAGTAATTATGCAAATGAAATGTCAACTTATGGTAATTTTGAGAATTTCATTATTTTAATTTGGAATTGAAATTTTCTGCTGCTGTTTGTAGAATCCGGAGGTGAACTGGACATTGTAGTGACCTCAAATAAAGAAGTGAAAGTGGCTGCTGTTCGAGACGCCTTCCAGGAGGTCTTCGGCTTGGCTGTGGTTATGGGGGAAGCTGTTCAGTCCAATATCGCCCCTCAGCCAGTGGGCTATGCAGCTGGATTAAAGGTGAGTAATAGAAGGAAGACCTTCTAGGTATAGAAACTAGCAGTAATCTCTTCGTAATTCTGGGAATAATCCTGTGGTCTGTATGGAGCAATTGGTTTTTACATAATGAAACGTTCAGCTTAAACAATCAGCTTGGTTTTAATTAGACAACTCTGTAGTGTTATGAAGATATAGTGGACTTTTAAAGAAATCTAAGGTAGGTTTTTAATTGGGGGAGGGAATACACACATGCAGAGAGCACAAAAATAAATAAGTCCTAAAAAAGATACTCTTAACCTAATGTTAACATCAAAATCAATTACTAAAGAGATAACAGCCCTCAAATCCCATAAGCTTTTTTATTACTATCACTATTAATAATACTTTACATTTAACTAGTATGTATTTCTTCAGGGTTAGGAGCCTCTAATCACAGCATTTTGCCAACCAATTAATAAGTAACTTTGTTTTATGTTTGCTCTGTTTAAATATACCTTAATGTATATATTTTATTCATTATATTCATTAACATTAAACTCTGATAGTTAACAGCACTAAATTCATACCTGGATGAGGCTATTCTAACACATACTTTCTCCATAAGGTACATCAGTCTTCTTTGCTTAGGAACACTAGACAGCACTTCCACATTATACCTAGAGCCATTTTTAAAACAGCAAAATCACCAAAAAAGGCACAACTGAAAAATATAGTATTATATAATTTTATTGAAAAGCCAGCCATAGTTATGACCATTGTTGAATAAATAATATAGGGTGGGGCAAAGTAAAAGTAGTTTTACAGTTTGTGTGTATGCAAAACAGTTTTACATTGTTCATATGGAAAATAATACAAGAATAATCTACTTTTGCCCCACCCTGTATGTTATAAACACAGATGTAGTTGATACCTACAAGCATTTATTTAGAACAGTGGTTCTCAACCTTTCTAATGCCGCGGCCCTTTAATAACAGTTCCTCATGTTGTGGTGACCCCCAACCATAACATTATTTTCGTTGCTGCTTCATAACTGTAATTTTGCTACTGTTATGAATCGTAATGTAAGTATCTGTGTTTTCCGATGGTCTTAGGCTAAGACCCACAGGTTGAGAACAGCTGCTGTAGAGCCTAAGACCATCGGAAAACACAGAATTAATCCCTTAACCTCATTTACTATATATTAAGCTCTGCTATCTATAATAAAAATAGGTATTAACTATGGCTAATTTTATTTAGTAATAAGTTTTTATCTTGCTCTTAACACATCACTCATAATCACTATGAGGTGATTCAGTTAAAAGTAGTAAACAGCAACCTTGTTTTCACTGGTCCAGTTTTTAGTTTTCTGTAAAATTATTTAATTCATGATCTTGATTTATCTGCATAGTGTTTGTAGCCCCTCAATTTTGTTTCATTAATGGTGATAATATTCCTGAATAAAACTGTCACGTTAAGGTTATATTTAAAAATAATCAGAAGAAAGAATGAACATTTTTACTATTGATATGATTGCCTACTTAGAGAAAATTTGAGAGAATCAACTAAAAATCTGAGATTGATAAAAAAAAAATTTATTCTGTGGGAGGGCTCCTTGCCAGGTTAACATTAAAAAAACAGTTTTCTTATATTAGTAAATAACCATTTAGAACATAGAATGTCTAATCCATTTTATAGTAGCAACCAAAACAATAATACAAATTGGAAACTGAGTACTGAGAGGAACACAATTAGACTTTTTCACCTTTTGTCTTCTATGTTGTGTGAATGAATGTGTGAGCTTACATAAATGTATGCATATATTGCTTATATAATCATAAATTAGTATACTTAATAATGAATAATTTGAAATGGTTTCTAACCTACACTGTTATTCAGGGTGCCCAGGAACGGATAGATACCTTGCGTCGAACTGGAGTGATCCATGAGAAGCAGATTGCTGTGTCAGTAGAAAACTTTATTGCAGAATTGCTTCCTGACAAGTAAGTCTTGTTTTTTCTTGTAATGAGAACTCTTAAGATCTTTCTCAGGAGCTTTCAGATATACAATACAGTATTAATTATAGTCACCATGTTGTATATTATATTCCCATGACTTATTTTATAACTTGAAGTTTGTACCTTTTGATCCCCTTCACCCAGCCTCTGGCAAGCACCAATCTGCTCATCGTATGTTGTGTTTCCATATATGTCAACTCATACAATATTTGTCTTTCTGTTCCCTTAGCATAGTGCTCTCAAGGTCCATGTACCTTGTCATAAATGGCAAGATGTCCTTTTCATGGCTGAATTATATTCCAGTGTCTGTGTACCACATTTTGCTCATTTATCCTTCAGTGGACACTTAACGTTGCTTCCATACCTGAGCTCTTTTAAATAATGTTGCAGTGAACATAGGGGTACAAACATTTTTTTAATAAATACTCAGAAATAGATTGCAGGATCATATTTTTCATTTTTTTGGGACACGTCCATACTGTTTTCCATAGTAGCTGTACCAATTTATATGCCTACTAACAGTTTGTAACTGTTCCCCCTTTTCTCTATATCCTTGCCAAAGGTTGTTATTTCTTGCCTTTTTTATAAAATCCATTTCAACAGGTATGAGGAGATATTACATATGGTTTGGGTTTGCATTTTCTGGATGATTAGTGATGATAGGCCATCTCGTAGTTTTATGATTCTGGTTAAAATGTTGGTGGTATAGTTGACTTCACTTTAAGTCAACTTACAAGTATCTTTTTTTTTATGCATTTTATTGGTTTTCTTAACAGAGAGGAAGGATCAACTGCCTCCTGCACAACCCCTCCTGGGGATGTGCCCGTTACCAAGGTATATGCCCTTGACCAGAATCAAACCTGGGACCCTTGAGTCTGCAGGTCAACTCTCTATCCACTGAGGGCACAAATATCTTTTAAGTGGAAAAAGTTTTCATTGTGAAGGATTTATCAGAAATGAGAAAAGGATTTGTTATTCCCTGTGAGCTTATTTTTTAATTTGCTAGTAACTTTTCCAGTTGGCTATACAAACAAAATGTTCCATATTTTTTTCAAGTGACATATTAAAAATATTATGCATGGCAAACTATTTGCAAATTCAAATGAGTAAATTTGGTGCGTTATTTGAACTTGATCAGTAGAGATTGTCGTTTTTCTTTTTCCCTGGGGCAGGGAGGGAGGTGAAGTTGAGAGATTAGTAGGAAGAAGAGGGAGGCGAACCGAAAGTTTCCTCAGCCAACAGCGCTAATAGTGAAAGAAATAGAAGTTTGGTGGGTATGATAGATATTGCAATTTTAGATTTGGGTTGAAGGGGACATGTTTAGGACCATGATAAGGACCATGATAGTATTTTAGAGAACAAAGATGACCTTGAATATTCTTCTAATGTGTATTCACTAGCACAACAGTGAATACACAAAACTTCACATGATAATTTTCAATTATTTTTTTTCATTATTGTTCCTCATTTTTCTCCTCTTGGAATTAAGCCAACAGGGGAATTTTATATATTGTTTTTGTGGATTGTCTTCTTGAAAATTGATTAGAAAAACATTTCCTTTTTGAAGTCTTAATATTTTATCAAAATAATTACTTATACCTTTTATTTAGCACATAACTTAAACTCATTCTGTTGCAGATGGTTTGATATTGGCTGTTTGATAGTTGAAGATCCTGTCCATGGCATTCATCTAGAAACATTTACACAAGCCACACCAGTGCCTTTGGAATTCGTACAACAGGTTAGTTTTCTCCATTTTCAGATGCTCCTGGGAAGCTTTTAATATTGTTTAAAAATAAAAATGTGGGCATATTTTTTGTTGGAAATAGCGATTAACTATATAAATATATACTACCGTATTTTTCGGACCATAAGACCAGAAGGGGGGAAAAAAGTCCCTGCGTCTTATGGTCCAAATATAGCCTACACATATACTTTAAAAAAAGTTTTTTTACTTGCCCGGCTCTGTGTGCTTGCCCGGCTCTAAAATGGTTCTAAATGCTGCTGTTTACTTTACAGGGTTGATTACATGTGTTTATGACTGTGATGTTGGGTTTTAATGCACATAAAATATTTTAGGACACTATTTGTTTCAGAATCTTTTTTTCTTCATTTCCCTTCTCTAAAAACTGGTGCGTCTTATGGTCCGAAAAATACGGTACCTTTTCAAAGACAGAAGAAAAAAAAAGCTAAAAGGCTATTTTCTTCACCCTAGGATGAAAAGAGATTTACCTTTTCTCCTGGTTTTATATTCACCTTTCCTTTATTTTCCCTAATACCTTTGTCTTGATCTTCCTCTTTGGTGGTAAGTAGAAACCTTAGTGAAAGGCATATGTCTTTACCTATTCACATCGTTTCTATACTGAGGCATAAATGTATAATGATTTTGATTCTATATTTATTTCATTTTGTTCAAGAAAAAAGTGCATATTTACATTGGAGTCTTTTTACTCTTAAATGACATTTTTGTTGACTTTTTCCTCTCTTCCATTTTATAAAATTTCTACCCCATTTGAACTTTTGCACATTGTCACATGTCATCTCAAAACTTGTATTTTCTTGGGAGAGAATCTAATAATATACGTACTCACATATAAATTGGCAGATGTGTGCATAGAATCCCTGAAAGCAACTTGTGGCTCTCTTAATAGGTTTACCGCTTAGATGCGGACTAAGAATTGATGCTTAGAATTTTGAAGTTATTGAACCTTTTACTTATACCATAATTTCTTTTCACAAGTGCAAGAAAGCATTTTTGTAGATGTTAACATTAAACTCCAATATGAAGGTGATTCCAAGCAAATATTATAACAATAAATTAGGAAAATTGGACAAAATGGTCGCTTTAGTAATTAAGTTGGACCATATGGAATTGCTGTCTTTTACGATGACCTGCTGCTCTCCCACGCTGCCGGCAGTATTGGAATAAACGCTCATATATGATTCAACCCTGTCTCTGCTGAATTGGCTCAAGAAGTGACAGGCAGCTCGGACCCATTGGCTGAGTGCTTACAGTATGTGCCCTGACTGGGGATCAAACCCACAACCTTGGCATACTGGGATGATGCTCCAACCAAATGAGCTACCTGGCCAGGGCCTGGAATTGCTGTCTTTTAAAAAATCAAATATTGGTAGTTTCATATGATTCAACATTAATCACCTCAATGAAGCTTTCCAAAGTCATCTCATTAACCTAATACATCTTCATAGCTCTTAATACTTAGGAAATTACAGGAGTTTTGGGAGCTCTGTCAAAAATTGGGATGAAGACTATATTTCTTATTAGAGTCTACCACTGTGGTCTTCATACACAAGATACAGTCATGAAAGCTCCCATTCAGTTGTTAATAACTTCTAGTCTTTCATATATGAAAATGTCTCCCAGGGTGGGGCCTCTCAGGTTCGTAGGCTTCTGTTAGCTCTGTTCAGGTTCCCAAAACAAAGGTGATGTCAGCAGTATAGGCTTCACCTCTTCAGGCACCTGTACAAGCATGCCTCAGAGATACGCCATTTGGTTTCAGACCACCTCAATGTTTTCTGTGCATATAAAGGTAATGTTTACACAATACTGTAGTCTCATAAGTGTGTAATAATATCAGTATGTCTATAAAAATCAGTGCACATATCTTAAAAGTACTCACCATTATCTGTGCCTCTTAGAAAAATGGTGCTGATAGACTTGCTTGATGCAGGATTGCCACAGACCTTAAATTTGTAAAAAAAAACAAAAAACAAAAACAAAAAAACTATCTGCAAAGCAGGAAGTGAAGTGAAATAAAACAAGGCATGCATATATAAGGAAGGTAAGAGACAGTATCATCTCTTGCACTGAACCTTTTGAGTTGTTAATGTATTTGATTTCCCTCATTACATAAACCATTTATTCATTACATAAACCATTTATTCATTCTCTTACCCATAGCAACTATTTTCCCTTCTCTCCATTTATACCCAAACTTTTCTATCTTTGGAAGGGACATTAGGTTTGGCCACTGTGCTGGTCCAGAGAGCAGGCAGCAATACGAATCTAGCAAGTGTATTTCTCTCAGCCCATATGAGCATCCTTTTAACAGGCTAGGTTCCCATTGCTCTCCTGCCTGACCATAGGGCCAGGCCGCTGCCTGTAAATCAGTAAAAAATGAAACATTGGGGATTTTACTACTGTTCAGTTTCCCTCACTATTAGGAAAACAGCATGCACTTCAGCCCACCCTGCTGATTTGTTTTTACTTTAAGTTAGTGGTGGCCTTCCAAATGGGATATTGTCTATTTACCTTGGAGCTGCCATTTGTAAACCAAGGAACGCTTCCAGGGGAGAGCTGTTCATAGGGCACTGTCCATGCAGCAGTTGGTTCCAGCAGCTCCTCAGGTGTCTCTAGAATTGGTCCCATGAGCAAAGAGACTCTGCTAGCATCTCCTCCTTGCATTCCCTAGGCAGCATGATCCTGTGTAAACCACTTCCATAATATTGTATGGAAATAGAACTATGAAAGCTCGTTGTTCCCGTCACTGCCATCCCATTAGGGCATTTTTTCAGCAGCAGCATCACTGTATGTCCTTCAGTCATAAGTGTAGCTTCAATTAAGAATGTCTAATAACAAGGTAGAAAATGCCCCGCAAATGGAACTCCTCTGATCCAAAGTCCCAGTAGTCATTGCTGGGAGGCACTCACAGGTTTTTGCCATTAGCCCCAGCCTACACGCCCCATAGGGTTATGGCAGGAGATTTTTGCCCCTAACATCACTCCAGCTTCTATCCTGTACTGTTTGGGCTGAGGCAGTAGTACCGATTCCCATTTAGCATGTCTAATTAACAGTGCTTGTAGGGCCGATGTACATGCCTGTTTTACAACACTAGATAGACGAAGCTTCCCCAGTGAGACAGTGTCCATCCCCAAAGTAGTCAGGTAAAGGAAACACATGTAAAGCCCATTCAAATATACCAATTTTCCTACAACTCCTATGCTTCTAACTGTATTCTGTTAGGATTATAAAACCAAACCCTGTTGATAAAATCCTAAGTAGGGAAAATGTTCTCTAGCAGACAGAATACCTGTTCTCATAAAGCTCCCAGGTAGAGGGACACAGTTTATTTACAAAAACCTTCTTAAACATTGAGCTTTCAGAATTCTATCTACCTTTGCATTTATATTATTTCAATCTAATATAGGAGTGTCTTGGAAACCTCTTCACCCTATGACCATTTTATTCACTATTGTGACAAAAGGCTCTAGAATGATAAACATTAGAAACTTTGTCATTATAAGGGTGCTTCAGGGTCAGCAAAAAAAAGTGGCCTGCAGCCATATCTGGCATGCCTGCCTGTTCTGTAAAATTTTATTGGAACACACTCCTGCCCATTTATTTACATGCTGCTTTTGTACTTGAGTTGTAGAGACCATCTTACCCACAAAGCTTAGACTTTTCACTATCTGGCCCTTTTCAGAAAAAGTTTGCTGACCCCTGTGCTAAATATCCATTACAGAAGGATAATTTTTATTTTTAGGAATACATATTAGAAAAAAATAAGATATAATGCTCAAAAAACAAAGCATCAAAACTGTATATACTAATATCAAAACTTAGGACATATTGCCAAGTAAAAATACTGTATCTGGTATGATCCATATATTTACATATGCACACATATATACACATATGCACACATATATACTTTAAAACTATATACACTACTAGAAAACAAAAGGCCTAGAAAAATACACAACAAGCTGTTGATGTGGTTAACTCTGAAGAGTGATAGTGAAAGAGTGTCTTTTACTTTGCCTTGTTTCTATTGTCATTGTTTAATTTTTTAAAATTTTTTTTTAATTTTTTTTTTGGCATGAGGTTCAAAACTAAGATACCAAAGCATGTGTCTTCCTTTTATTCCTGCTATTCAGCTCTCCCTTACTCTTGGAGTTTCTTACTTAAGGGAATGAAAGTCAGCTCTTTTAGGGATTATAATTACAATCAGCATGCATATTAATGAAGTCTAGAAAAAATTTATACAAATAAATTAGCCCTCTGTCCCCCAATTAAAACTCATATGTTGGAGTTTCGCTTCTAGGTCAATATCTTGTTTCTAAAAATGTGATCCTAGACCCAGCACCCTAAGGGTCACTCACGTGGGACCTTGTTAAAATTGCAGTCTCTTGGGCCCTCACCCAGAGGGCCTGAGTCAGGATCTGCAGCTTCGCAAGATCCGTGGTGCTTGGTGTGCGTGTCACCTGTGAGCAGCACAGTGTGACAGTGTCTCCGGAGATCTTTGTGATCCATCTGCTACTGCTCTTCTCTGAAACCCAGTGAGATACTGATCGTGCAGTGGGCACTGTGGTAGGGAGGACTGAGCAAGCTCCCCAGTTGCTCGGTCTCCTAAGTGTTGTACTCCTTCTCTGGGAACCTGCTGTGGAGTTTCAAACTAGGGGTCTTAGGTAGAGTATTAAAAAAATGTGGTTTTCTAAAAAAAAAAAATTTTTTTAAAAGCATCTCAGGTAATTATAATACAAAACATGTAACTATATTCATCTGGACTCTGCCTAATAACCTAAAACAGAAAATCTTCCTTATTCTTGGATACTCAGCAATGGGCTTATTCTCTCATTTCTATGTGGGGTGAATATGTAATTTGAATGGGAACAGATAAAGGTTGGGTCAGGTATTAATGATGCTATCCTGGACTGCATATTATTTTATAGGTATTACCTTAGTCACATGAAAATAAAGTTTCTGGGATACTCTTCTACAAATTAATTGAAGTATCCTTTTCTGAATGGATTAAAGTCTAATATGCATGCGGTTTCCTTCTTTCTGGTAGGAATGTCATAACTAAAAAAATGTTTCTATTTTAGTACTAATTTTACTATGAACCTGAAATGACAATGAATGTAGAACGTAGACCCTCTGACACTGAGCTTTGTTGGATATGGTCATTACACTTAAGACCTTGACTATATTTTAAACAAATTAGCTATGTGCAATATCGTGTTCTTTCATAACTTTGGAATTTTATACAGTTGGCAGTATTTTCTCAGGATCTATCATCAGTATTAAGAGCAACCTGAGAAACTTGGAAATATCACTTTCAGCCATTTCCAATGATTTTTTTTAATGTTTAATAAATAATATAAATTTCATTTTTCCATAGGCTCAAAGTCTAACTCCCCAGGACTACAATCTGAGGTGGTCAGGCCTTTTGGTGACAGTTGGTGAAGTCCTGGAAAAGAGTTTAGTAAATGTCAGCCGGACTGACTGGCACCTGGCTTTCACTGGCATGTCACGGCGACAGATGATCTACAGCGCAGCCAAAGCTATAGCGGGCATGTATAAACAGCGCCTGCCCCCCAGGACCGTGTGAGAGACTTACCTCGATTCTGAGATGGCCTCACCTTGAGCTTGGTGGTAAAGAAGACATTTTACTTTCTGAAATTGGATAGCGTCAGTAATCCAGCAGTTTTGGTAATTTTCCTGAGGGCTGCAATTTTTCCTTTCCCTTTAAAAAGCCATGGTGTCATGTCAGCAAATGAAACAGATCCTTTTATGATCATTTAATTACATGTACTATAGTTCTCAAATATGTAAGTATTTTTATAAGACAATTTGATACCAGATTTAGAGTACAAATTCATATGTTAAGAAATTTAACTTGATGTGTACTTGATTATTTTGTTTTTCATAACAGTTAATGATATGCTCCTTGAATATTCTTTAAAAGCATTGTTTCTTTTAATTCAAGATTAATCTGTCATTTTTTGAAGTTTTTTTTTGTGTGTGCACATGATCTCAGATCTGATGCTGAGTGTGTGCTCAACAATTTACCCTAAAAACACCTACCTGTAGAGAGATGGTGCACATTTTGTTTGCATATTTTTAACTTGGGCCAAACAACAGAATGGATCACTTTCTCTTTGGTTATCATGTACACACATAGTGTGAGTATTGCTATGTTTTTTTTCTTTTCCTTTTTCTTTTTTTTAAGTTCTGGCATCTTACAGATTTATGCTCTGAGCATTAGGGTAATACATTTTACTTTTTGATTGTTATGTGACAACTAAATGACAGATTATTGGAGTTTTAAATGAGAAGTCTTTGAGTTTTCTTAATACTGCTATTCAGTATTTTCTAGTAAATTCTGACAACAGCCTTTATTTCTGACTCCGTCCATGTTTTCCATTGTAAGAAATTTTGGGAGGGAATCACTTTGTTGTTTATGGGATTGAATACTTCTTATTTAATAAGGTTACTTACGTTTGCCTTAAACACTGCTTTTCCAACCTTGTCGAATTCTGCCTTCACTTTTAATGGAACTTTTCAAAGAAACTTTTATATGCAATCTGGTTTATTTAGTCCATTATGTTGGTAAAGTTTTTCTTCCAAATATATTTACCATTTTTGGGTTTTATATAAATCAGAATTAGTTTGTCTTACACTTTTAAACTCTATATACGCACGTTTAAATAACACTTAATACAGTAGTTTCTTATATAAATGTAATTTATTTACTCTTCTATGCAGTTTTTTTAGAGTTAAAAGAATTAGCACAATCTTATAAAGGGAGTTAAAGCTCTTATCCCTGCACTGTCATTACTTGTAAGATTTGCTTTGTATTTTTGCAGTTTTTTACATGGGGCTGAGATGAATTAAGTATTCAGTGAAATTCAAGCTGTCAAAGTAATGAGAGAAAAGAGATGAAACCAATTGTGGCATAATAGGGACAGAATACTTTTTTTTCCTCTTTATTGGTATTTATGGAACAGCTCATCTGTGTCTTCTCCATCTTTCATGAATAAGAGAAATCTTTCTCTACCATTTGTATTAATATTTGTCCTTTAAAATACTATTAGAAAAGGGAGCTTTTATCATGGGATGGCCTGATGACTAATTATGGATGAAGGCAAGTATTCCTAATTAAAATACTTTTGCTACTTCCCTTTTATTTACTGGGAAATTTTACAGAAAGTAACTCATTATCTCTCACACCACAGCAGCATTAGTAAGGCTGTCTGCTGATGTTGGTGTTTTGGTGCTTACCAACAATTTAAGACTGCGGTTCCCTTTACCCAGCATGCAACTTCCCTCTGTTCTTTCTCTTTCTGCTCATCTTCTTACCTCTCCCACTGTAGCATTTCTTAAAGTTGGACTGGGAGCTGTTGGCTCTTTTCCTCCCTCAAGCTTCTTAGGAAAGAAAACCTGTCTTCCACATGATCCTTGACTGCTATTGTTTTGGTTGAGTTTGTGATTTATTTATTTTGAAGTGCTCCAGTAACTACTAACTGAATTTTATAAGCTTACACATGTCTTCATTTTAATTAGTGTGAAAGAGAACAGGTATAACTGCAGAGTAATTTAATATGAACCTCAGTTGACAGAGGTACTCAGGAAGATCTTGAATTGAATAATCTGTTACTAAGTTTGTCCAGCAACTCTGGACCTTGAACTGTGCCACAGACTTATGGAGTTGGAAAACTTTAAGCAATACTAGTGGTTTTCTCTTCTGATCTCTTATTATTACTTCCCCACTCTGTTCCTCTTTCTCTCAAGGATTAATGAGGTAAGAAATTTGAGATAAGTGAATATATACAAAATGGTAGTAGATAGTAAATAGGTAATACATACAGATGAACATGTATTATGTACACCTATTAAAAATTATGCAAATTAGTAACATACTCAGGGTCAACTAAATTACTTTAATATGATGTTGGATTTATTTTATTCCTTGACTAGAAAAAATTCTTAACAGGAATTGCTGTTCTGTGAAGCCAAACTTTGTGTTCTAGATGATGTTGAGTTATGCGTAAATTATTAAGAAACTTAGGTTTTTACTCCCAGAATATGGTTTTTAAGATTCTATGCAGGGTGATGTATTGGGTAATAATCAATTTTGTAAGTATGTAAATATAACAAATAAATAATACCTTTACTTACTTCCCAGAAGTGTACAGTTGATTTTTTTAAAGCTTATGCATATTAATATTATATTAGAAAGGCCCATTTTCCTTTGTCTAAACTGGCTACCAAGAATTCCTATAGAAGAGTAACTTCACCATCTTTCAAGTGGAAACTATAACATTCAGATATCTCAGAGTTGCTAACTCTGCATTCATAGAACTCACAATATTTAGGGGAGAAGATGCACTGGAGATAGTTAATAGGCCTGTGTTCATGAAGAGACCTGCATCTAATTTATCTTTCACCGTCATCTTTAAAACAAAGTTTTAGTTGTTGCTATATTTGCCATTTAGAGCCTAGTAATCCCAGGAGGAGAGATTATTGTTTTGATTTGGCACAGGAAGGGATATTGTAAAAGACACTGAAATATTGATATGGGGTTTTTGTTAGCAAGAAAAAAAAAAAATAGTGCTGTCAATAGACTAACTGAATGCCCAGGAAAGGCCCTTTTATAGTTACAGGAAAGGCCCTTTTATAGTTACATCTTTTTTTCAGAATGAACTAGAGAAGAAAAAAAGTTTTGGAAAGAAAATTAGCAAGGCCATATGAAGGAGATCTTTTAAGTTGTCAAGAATTTAAAGCAGTAAAAAATATACCTATTTTTGTAGCCAGATCAGCAAAAATATAACACTTTTTGGTGTGCTACAGAATTTTAGTAATGTAGTACAAAATGTGTGAGATGAGAAAGGTTGAAATTGTACTGTAAACCATTCTCTTCCAAAAAGGATATCCTAAGTATTTGCTTTAGGAAGTTATGGGTGCATAATCTTACGACTGTTGAATTCAGCTTAATTCTCATAATAACAGAAGGACTTTGCTCTAGTATACTATTAATTTTATAATATACTAGAGGCCTAGTGCACAAAACCATGCTCTTGGCGGGGGTGGAGGGGTGAGGCCCCTCAGCCCGGCCTGTGCCTTCTCACAGTCTGGGATCCCTCGGGAGATGTCCAACTGATGGCTTAGGCCCACTCCCCATGTCAAACATCCTTAGTGCAGCTGCGGAGATGGAAGAGGCTCCTGCCACTGCTACTGTGCTCACCAGCTGTGAGCCTGGCTGCTGGCTGAGCAGCGCACCCCTTGTAGGGGTGCACTGACTACCAGAGAGGCAGCCCCTGCATTGAGGGTCTATTCCCTGGTGATCAGTGTGTGTCATAGCAACCAGTTTTTCTGCTGTGGTCAATTTGCATATTAGCCTTTTATTATATAGGATTTTTTTTAAGGAAAACATATTTTTATCCCCTATTTTTATTTTATTTTATGTTTTTTACTTTGCTGCTAATATGAGAATATATCTGTGATATTTGAATATTCTCCCAAATTTGGGAAACCATAAACTAGGTTCACCTTTGAGTATAATTTTTAGGATTAAAGCCAGAAATGTTCTAATTGTTAAACCACTCTTCAAGCAAGGCACTTTTAAAATAATACCTTTTAAAGTATTTTGAGAACTACTATTATAATACACTTCCTGACTCATTCTGAATGTCCTAAGATATTTTAAAGAGAATGATGTCACCAAGATGGTGACAGGTTGTTCCTGACTTTGCTCCCCCGCAAGAAGAGCTAACAGCTATTCAATTACAAGACTCCGCTGAGAGAATCCTAGAACATGGGGATGAGGTTGGGCACCTTCATGCATCAAAGATGAGGACGGACTGTAGGTTGACCACATTGCCCTCCCCCTAGGCCAGGCTAGTACTATGCCAAGAAGTAAATCCCTGGACCTATGGGTTCCTTTAGTGGGAAAAAGCTCAGGGTGGACATCCAGCTCTCCCACAGTCGGGGGTCACTTAAGAGCCCCCATTTGTTTCGCTTCCTGAAGATTGCAGAGGAATCTGCACAACTTAACCACTGGGAACCTGTAACAGAGAAATGGGGATGGGCTTACAACAACCAGCATTCGGATCTTGGCATACTGAGTTCCTATCCGCAGCACCTAAGTACAATAGTTATCCAAACCAGTGTCTTTGCTCATCTGCAAAACCAAGCGAGTGGCACAGTCTGACCAGGGAACTTGGCCGGGTGCAGGTATGCCTAACCAGCCCTGGAGCCTAATGTGCTCTCATCTAGGCAGGGGAGCCGAGTCATCGTCCAGCTCACTGCTGAGTGTAACTCCTGGCTCCATCTGCGCAGAAAAGCAGGCCAGAGTATCCGTTCAATGCTTGAACAGAGTCCAGAGTGAGAATGTACAGTTGACAATGCACAGAACAAAGCCAGTGCTGGGTATGGAGTGTTACCCTCTCCACACAGTCAGGGAGGTAGTTCACTTCTCACCAGAAAGTCTGGTCTGGTTGGGGAAACCTGGGATGCTGCTTGGAGCTGAGAATATCCCTAGTCACCATGCACTGAAGCTTCCAGGCCTGTCCAACCAGAAAGCCTGGTGGGACACCTGGAAAGCTAAGTAGCCCATCAGCACCAGAGCAGAGAGGCCAGCACGCAGAGCTGACAGTCTGCAGAACAAAACCAGGAAACCTGTTTAGCCAGGAACGGGGCATGGGTCAGCTTGGGTCCAGGCAATAAACAGAATCTTTCTGGCTTTGGAGTTGGTTCTCTCAATGCCTATTCAGGGAAACGAATTTGTAACCTCACTCATTGCTGAATACAATTTCCAGCCCCGGTAAAGTGAGAAACTTAACCCAACCAGGGAACTACCTGAGCACAGGGGAAGCTGTGAAGCCCATCCAGCAGCCCTACTTACAGCAGCACCTGAACAGAGAGCATAGCCAGTGACTTTCCCTATTTGCAGAGCAAAACTGGTGGCCTTGACTGGCCAGGGAATTGAATGCATACCCTTGCCTGATCAAGTCCCCAGTCAACAAGTTGTGCATGTTTTGGGCCCCACCCAGGGCATGGAGGCTAATGTATAGCCCTTACTACTACTGAGTATAGAACCCAGTCCCGAATGTCTAGTAAGCCTGATCAGATAACATACGTAACTTGTGGAACACATCCTGCCGCTTCATTGGGATAAGACTACTGGATTGACTCTCTGCCCACGTGTTTTCACACAGTGACATCTCTGTCCCTCTCCTGGCTGTAGAGCTCAAGGAGTGGACTTACTCATAAATAAGACTCTGATAACCCTCTCTATTACCCCCAAGGCTGTTACCAGTAGATACACCCAGAAACCCTCAACTGAGCTTTCTGGTAAAGAACTATTTCGGCCAAAGCAGACTTGTAAAATCTGGAAGAAGAAATTACTCGAACGCACAAATACCAAAGTAAGGAACTAAGAATCACGAAAAGTCAGGAAACATGACACCATCAAAGGAAACTAATAGAGCTTCAATAACTGACCCTAAAGAATTGGAAATCTATGAACTGGAAGACAAAATTTCAGAATAATTTTCTTTAGTGAACTACAAGAACATAGACAACTAAATGAATTAGGAAAACAATGCATGAACAAAACAAGTTCAACTAAGTAACAGAAACTCAAAAAAGAAAAAACCCAAACAATTCCTAGAGTTGAAAAATACAGTGACTGAATTGAAAAATTCAATAGTAAGCTTCAATAGCAGACTTGACAATGCAGAAGAAATAATCTAACCTATAATAGAGGACATTTGAAATTATCCAGTCAGAGGACCAAAAAGAGAAAAAGAAAAGTCTGGAAATAATGGAACACCATCAAAAGGAACAATACCTGCCTTGTGGGAATTCCAGAAGGAGAAAAAAGAGAAAGGAACAGAAAGTGTATTTAAAGTACAGAAGCATAAAGCAGACTGTCAAATCTCAGAGGGAAGGCAGGAGTGTTGAGTGGGTGGGAAGAGATTAACCAAAGAAATTGTATGCATGCATGCATAACCCATCGACACAGACAATAGTGTGGTGAAGGTCTGGGGAGGGGAGCAGTTGTGGGCTAGACAGGGTCAATGGGGAAAAAATGAGACATCTGTAATACTTGCAACAATAAAGGTGTGTGTGTGTGTATGTGTGTGTGTGGGTGTGTTTAAGTATATCTAAAGCAATCATGACTGAAAACTTTCCCCACCTGGGAAAAGAAACGGAAATCCATGAGACCTGAAGGACCTCAAATAGATTGATAATATCTCCCAGGTAGGGATATATTGGGACATATTATTAAACTGTGAAACGTTAAGGAATAAGAAATCATTTTCAAAGCAGCAAGAGAAAAATTACAAGAGAATCTCCATGAGACTATCGATGTTTTCTACACAGAAATGTTTTAGGCCAAGATAGGATCCGATGATACATTCAAAATATTGAGAGAAAAACTCAGCCAAGAATCTATACCCAGCAAAGCCATTCAGAAATGAAAGCAGGATAGACTCCTGAACAAACAAAAGCTGAGGGAGACCTACCTGCCTTGTGAGAAATGCTACTAAAGAAGTTCTTTAGGTGAAAGTAAATGGATGCTAAGTAGCGTTATAAAAACAAAGTAGTCTGAAATTTATTGGTAATATTAAATATATAGTCAAAATTCAATTCTGTAAATGGTAATGGTGGTGCATAATGCATTTACAACTCTAGTTTATAAAATGGGAGCTTCCTGTCAAGATAGTTTCATCTTTCCATACCACATCAAAATTACAACCAAATAACAGAAACACCATCATTCAGAATTACCTGAAATCTAGCTGAATAGAAAAGTCTTATAACCAAGGAAATGAAGCAGTTGCATGGAGACTAATAGGAGGGACATGTAATGGGCTGGTTCCACTCCCATGTGTGATGGTTAAAATTGGGAGGATTATCTCAGCTTCAGAAGACCCCCTCAGGAATGAGGGATCCCAGGTCCATGTCCTAAGTCTCCCCACCCCTACACACCCCAGGCCTGGATTCCAGTGCTGATAGAGAAGTCACCATAACTGCTGGTTGTGAAAATTGGCAGGGATTGTGGCTGAGTGAGATAAGGGCCTGCTGGTGTCTAAGGCATTCCTTTAAAAACAAAACAAAACAAAAAAAAACCTTTGCCAGACTTAATTCAGATTTACTTGCTCTGAGTTTC